GCTGCAGGAGGGCTGGACCCTGGGCCGGGCGGGCGGGGTGCGGGCAGGCCCCTCGGCCTCTTGCTCGCCGGCGCCCCCTGGTGCTCGTGTCGCTCCGCAGGCTCCCGGACCTCCGTGCTCTTGGCCTTCGCCCTGCTCTGCCAGCCCTGGCCTCCCCAGGCGGGCGCCTTCCCCGCCATGCCCTTGTCCAGCCTCTTTGCCAACGCCGTGCTGCGGGCCCAGCACCTGCACCAGCTGGCTGCTGACACCTACAAGGAGTTTGTAAGCCCCCCTACCGGTACCCCCCCCCCAGCCCCCGACACTGGGTGGAGGATGGGTGGGAAGGGGTGAATCAATCCATGCCCCCTGCCCCAGGTACTGGGAGGAAACTGACTAGCTCAGAGGCCTTTTAACCACCCCAGACAGAGGGGGGCAGGGGTGGGTGTGGGGGGTCGTAAAGCAGTGCTGACCCAGGACTGGGTGTGTCCCTCCCCCAGGAGCGCACTTACATTCCGGAGGGCCAGAGGTACTCCCTCCAGAACGCCCAGGCCGCCTTCTGCTTCTCGGAGACCATCCCAGCACCCACCGGGAAAGAGGAGGCCCAGCAGAGATCCGTAAGTAGCCGCTCTTCGTGGCAAGTGGCCCTCGCCTCCCAGGGGCCCACCGGCACGGCACCCACACGCCTCTGCCCGGCCCTGTGTCCGCAGGACGTGGAGCTGCTGCGCTTCTCGCTGCTGCTCATCCAGTCCTGGCTCGGACCCGTGCAGTTCCTCAGCAGGGTCTTCACCAACAGCCTGGTGTTCGGCACCTCCGACCGCGTCTACGAGAAGCTCAAGGACCTAGAGGAAGGCATCCAGGCCCTGATGCAGGTGAGGGGCGGGGGCCCCAAGCCCCGGGGAGGAAGAGAGGAAGCTGGTTTCGCTGCTGAGGACAAGCGGGTCTCCGGGCAGCCTGGCCTTGACCCAGAAGTCCTTTCCCCCCCCTTGTTCTCCATGGGGACCCTTTTCACTGTGCCGTGGGAGGTGGGGTATGAGCTGGCGGGGTGGGAAGGGAGGGCCCAGCCCTGAGCCTCTCCTGGGCCCCTTTCCCTTTGGCAGGAGCTGGAGGAGGGCAGCCCCCGTGCCGGGCAGATCCTCAAGCAGACCTACGACAGGTTCGAGACAAACTTGCGCAGCGAGGACGCGCTGCTCAAGAACTATGGGCTCCTGTCCTGCTTTAAGAAGGACCTGCACAAGGCGGAGACCTACCTGCGGGTCATGAAGTGTCGTCGCTTCGTGGAGAGCAGCTGTGCCTTCTAGCTGCGGGGCATGCCGCCGCCCCCCCCCCCCCAACACACACACACCCCTTCCCTGGTCCTAATAAAAGATCATGTTGCATCGAATTGTCTGAGCAGAGCTCATTCTGTGAGGAGTGGGACACTGGTGAGGGGTGGGTTGGGAAGGCCCCAGAAGGTCTCCTGGGAGCCAGAGTGGCTGAAATATAATGGACTCAGCTCTTGCGAGCCAGAACAAAGCAGATAGGGTCACTAAGTCTGTCCAGGACTTTGCTGGACACTCAAAGGTCAGGGCCACCCTACAAAGTACTTGAAGGCTTTTCTCCCTTTCCCCAGCAATGCGATACCCAAGCTGCTGGAGAAATGAAAGGGTGGCGGGCTACTGAGTGCAGGCGCAAGATTCCCCAACATGTCACATCAAGAGAAAACAACGAGAGTGGCCATAGAATGATCAAAGCCCACACCCACTGCCATGAAGTCGTTTCAGACTCAGAGCACTCCTACAGGACAAGGTAGAGCCTCCCCTGTGGGTGTCTGAGACTCTTGACTCTTTACCGGAACAGACAACCTCATCTTGCTCCGGTGGAGTGGCTGGTGGTTTCAAACCACTGACCTTGCAGTAAACAGCCCAACGCATAGGTAGTAGAATGACACTGGGGCGGACATGTTTAGATGAATACACTCTCAACCCAATACTCTCGAAAAATGAGGATGAAGAGGAAGCCCGCTCATGGTGACCCCGTGTGTCGGATTAGCTCAGCCCTCCACCGGGCCCTCTTGACGGACTTTCCTCAAGTGGATGGCCAAAGCACCTCAAGTGGGCATGAACCAGCCAACGGTGAACCTCCCACCTCCAGGGGAGAATTGCAAAACGAACTGGGGAGGGCACAACCAGGGTGACTGGGATCGAGCGGAGACAAGAGAAGTGGGACAGTTCCAGTTGAGGGCCAGCAGGGGCGAGGGAGTAACCACGAGCGGTGAGGGCTGGTGGAAGGGAATGCTGTCCCAGCCACCAACACAGCGCTTTCACCTTTGAACGTGGCAAGGAGGGTGCAGACCGGGACAACCATGAGGGCTGAGACGCCAGCTCAGGCAGGACCCACTCCACCATGCCGCCGTCCCGACTTTCGGACGCCTCCCTGACTCTCGTCCCCGACTTTCGGACACTTCAAGGACGTGTGATATTTAAATGTTGGCAACCAGTATACATGGAAACCACTCTTAGACACAAACTCGGGCCACCTCCAACAGAGTGGTCTCCAAGCCGTCAGGGGCAATTTTGTTCTGAGAGCAGTGGGTTGAGAACACTTCGTCTAAATAAAAGAAAGAATTAGAAAGACCGTGAGACTCAGCTTTCTCAGTGGAAAAGGGGTATGATTTATCTCCTTGGAAGTGCTGGGTGTAGATGAAAAGAAATGAAGTTTCCTAAATGCAGCAATCAAGAAATTGTCATTTAAATTAACAACCCAATAAAATATTCATCTAAAATTGTGGCGATTTTTGAGGTTTCCGGTGTTCGCGAGCTTTTCTGCAAAGATGTCTAAGCACTTACTTATAAAGCATATTCCGTCCAGTGACATGGTGACATTGTTTGTTTCCAAGGCTTTCCAGAGGGTAAGGTTTTAGAGCTAAGTGTTTAGTCTCCTAAGCCCTTTGGCTAAGTGGCTCTTGTGTGTCCTCTGGTTGATTCTGACACACAGCGACCCCACACGACAGAACAGAACTGCTCCCTAGGGAGCAGACCTGCCTAATTCATACACATCTGACCACTGTCATGGGTTCTAACTCCGAGCGTCCCTTTGGGTGGCAGGGTAGAACTGCCCCAAGAGGGAGGAAAGGGAAATGTACGGGGAAGTATGTATGGTATATATGACTTTTGATGGTCCTCAATAGTTGCCCGGGATTTCAGACTCTGGTTTGGGGGTTTATTATAATTATAGTTATGACTAACACCAGCATTATGAATAACAAAAGCTAATGTGTACAAATACACTTGGCTTTACAAGTGCTGCCATTTCCTTCGAATTATGATCCCCAGGTAAAGTCGATAGTCGCGATACTAAGAGGTCCCACTGAGTTCTGTTTGAATGCAAACTCTCAGAGGTTTGTTCGGTTTCAGAGAAGATTCTGAACTGCTAGCAGTCTCGAAAGTCAAATATCGAACTTATTTTCTCAACAAGAGCCCAGCAAGTGGCCTTGACTATCCCTCTGAGGATAAATGCTTAGAGCAGTGATTCTCTAAGCAAGCAGGTCCCATGCCCAGGGGGTAATGGTCTGACCCAGGGGGCTCCAAAAGCAAGGACCTACACTTTCCTGGATTATGGGCTATAGGACAAACGTTTTTTATTGCTGGAGGGGGGGAATTATAGGAAACAGAAGGATTTCTCTCAAGCTGTCTCCCCCAAATATATGCCAAACGTAGCTGCTTGCGAATGACTACACACGTGGAGGTCATCAAGAATAGATCAGGGGTCATTCTCCCTAAGCGCTATCAGCCATCTGGAGCAAGCAGGCACCACTGTTTATCCCACAAGTAGGGCCCACTCCCTTCTGATAAGGATAGTAGTTGTCTGTTTCCTTGTAGGAGACACCAGAGGTCAAACCCGCCCAAGGATGACCAAGGTGAGGCTGCCATCATGAATCTAGGGTCCGCCCATCTTGTCACATGTATAACCCTAGACCTTCCCATTCCTATGGGCTCACCCCTAGCTCATCCCCTTTCTGTCACGCTGATGCCTATCATACAGCCCCTTCCTACAATGTGTATGCCTATTGTACTGCCCCTTCCTGTGACGTGTGGTTACCTGTAATCATGTCCCCCTAAAGAGATATAACGCTTGGTTAGCAATAAAGAAAAGCTCTCCCTGGTCCTCGGGCCTGGAAGCTCTCCCCAGCGCCTGGGGGCTCTACCCTGCTCTCATGGCCGGGCTCCCCTCACGAGGACCACCAAGCGGGGCTGAGGTGAGCAATGCTACCATGAATTGTGTCTGACTCCATTACTTGACTCTCTCTTCTACCTCTCATGCTCTCTATGACTTTACTATAATCTTTACTTATTATTGCTGTACAATTGCACCTACCAGACCTATGATGATTTGTGGGGGACCCCCCTCCTCCCCACAGGCACTGAACCCCATAGGTTCCCAAACTTATTTGGTCTACCGCCCCTTTATCAGAAAAAAAAAACCCAAAACAAAAACCTCAGAGCCCCCTGGCAATTAAAAACTATTGTACTGTATCCCACAGTTGAGGGTACCGGGTAGGAATCTTTTGTAGGACTCCAGGGGTGCTGCCCCCTGGATCGTTTCATTTCAGCATGCTGCCCCCACCCCTGGCCCACAGGGGATGGTAGGGCCCACTGTGGGCAACACTGGTTTAGAGTAAAAGATCTCTCCCCCACCTGGAGTTAATCAGGGTAAATAAGTGTGAGCTAGTGGTTCTAACGTTCAAAGAGTACGCTCAGGATGTCTGAGATACAGTGAAGGCAGCTCCCCTTAGAAGATTGGGCAGAGGCCAGCTTTTACAGAGGAGGAAGAGATGCCATAGGGCCCTGTATGCTTGGAGAAGTGACAAGGATGAGCAGCTAGAGGCTTGGTTGTGTGGGTCCCTGGGGAAGGAAGGGAAACAGGTTCTGAGCCTGCCAAGGAAAATATCTAGCCCAAGGGGCAGTTGGCCCAAAGTACTGAGCTCTTCCAGCTATAAGCCAGAACTCAAGCAATGGTCGCCCTACCCGGACCAACACCTGAGGCAGTGGCTGCTCCCCCAAATGTCCCCAACAGCCTGCCTGGGGAGCCGGCTCTGTCAGGCTCTCTGTCAACAGCGACACCGTGTGGCAGTGAGGAGGAAGGACAGCAGCAGGCTAAGCTTCAAGGCTCTCCCTACTGGAGAGAGGGAGTCTGAGCAATCCCACCGCATTACCTTCTCTGGATCTGTGGGACCATTGCAGACCTGCAGTGCTGCCTCCGCAATGTCAAATGGCGGGAGACTCTTCAATTTGGGGATGCCGTTTTGCAAGATGAGACAAGAGACTCAGCGCCCCCTCAATCTCTCCCGGGAAGCTTTCCTGATCTGAGTTAGGCGCTCTTGCCCGCCGCAGAGGAGTTAACCTGCATTTATCATTCATCACTTCCCGTTCACTGGCTCTAGCTTCCCTGACATGAGCTGTGGAGCCCTGTTGCCCTGTATGTGTAACTGTTGAAACCAAAGGAGACGGACTGACACCGTGGCTGCAACAATGGGCTCAGGCATAGGAACACTTGTGAGGACGGTGCAGGACTGGGCAGTGTTTCCTGCTGCTGTGCACAGGGTCACTGTGGGTCGGAACCGAATCGATGGCACCTACCATCACCACCACCCCCTTGTAAACAGGCTTCCTGACTACCTCGTGTTCATTCCAAACATGTGAATAACTTGCCTTACACACACGAGATAGGAGAGTAGATGCCACTGTATAGTCAATGCCATGGTCACCAAGTTAAGTCTGGCTCATAGTGGCCCCATCTCAAAAAAACCCCAAACCAAACTCACAGCCATCAAACAGACCCCGTAGGGCAGAGTAGAACTGCCCCTGTGAGTTTCCAAAAGGGTAACTTTTTACAGGATTAGAAAGCCCTGCCTCTCTCCCCCGAGTGGCTTCAAACTGCTGTCTGTGCAATTAGCAGCCCCTCACATAACCACCAGGGCTCCCCACAGGGCAGAGTAAAACTGCTCAATAGGGTTTCTAAGGCTGTCACTCTTTACTGCACCAAGAGGCAGCCACATCCCTCTTTCCGTGAGATCCTGATTGGTGGGTTCAAACTGCCATTATTTGGGGGATGCCATTTTTTGCAAAATCAAACAAGAGATTTAATCCCACCTCAGTCTCCTCTGGGAAGCGTTCCTGATCAAGTTGGGTGCTCTTCCCCAGCAGAGGAGGTCCCATGCCCTCCTCGTTTCCCGTTCACTGCCTCTAGCTTCCCTAACGTGCTGTGGAGGGCAGGGCTGGTGCTCTGTTCATCGTTTGCCCTTCTCCTTGCATGGGTAACTGAGGAAAGCATGGGTGTATTTTGTCTCTGATGCTGCGTCTTCTCCCAGGCTGGGAGGTCATCTGTCAGGTTGTGGACAGCCCTTTCGAAGTCTCATTTGCTGTTCTGAGGGCAGGCCGAGCAGGGGCCCTGTCCCCTCTAGTGAACCACTGTCCAGAGCGAAGTTGTTTATGATGCCAAGCTGGTCCTTTCTTGGAAGTTGTACTCCAAGTTCCAAAGTGCAACTGTTTTTATTTTTGGAGCTTGTCTTAATTTTGCACAAGTTTTCATCAGTGATGTGGCAGAGAGATGCAGTCAGCTATCCTAACTTTTCCATTTAGCTTATCCAGCATTTCAGCAGCCCATACAAAACTGTTTTGGGGGTACGGGTGGGGTGAGTATATGGCTGTACAGTCCTCATGCCTTTCCTGGGGTGAACAATCCAAAGAACAGAGGAGGAAATTGGGTCACATCGAGTCACCCCAGAACTTTCCTCTTGAAGCTTCAAAGAACCCATTTGCAGATCAAAGTATGTGCTTCCTGACAGAAAGGAGGCATACATGTTGGCACTCTGCCCTAAGAGCCTGTGTGGATCAGACACACCGCGGCGGGCACTCACAGGTGATTACTGCCATGGGTTAGGGACTGGAACCCAGGGTTATTTGGGTCTCTTACCCTGAGGCCTCTACCTGCCAGTCGGGGGCAGGGCTCCAGGCGAAGGGTGCTGCCTGTGTGACCACAGACAGATTGCGATCACACACTCCACGGTTACTGAGTTGAAGCCTAGCCAGTCAGAGCCCCTTTGCCAAAGCTGCCGCACAGACTCCCGCATGATGGCCTCAAGCTCGGAGCTGGGCGCTGGCACTCCAGAGGCAGGCAGGGGAATGTGAAGACGGGGGTCCTACACCACAAAATTAGCTCCAAGACAGTCAACAGAAAACGATGAGAAATGAATTGCATTTGAAATCATTTTATTTCGTTTCTCTTCAGTCTGATGCTTGGGGGCCACCTGTGGTTTGGGGGAACAAATGGCAGTGGGAATGGAAATGGAGGGGGCACAGGCAGGAGCCTCTCTTTTGAACCCAAGTGAATGCATTAAGCAGAGAGCAAGGAGCAAAAGGCCCTTCCATGTGCTGAATACTGAGACTGAAATTCCTATAGAACTTGAACAAGAAAGCTGAACTTGGAGGTGGCTGGGATACAGTGGACACAGGCCCAGAGACTGTCGGCACCACTACGGAACACAGAGTAACGCAGCCTCACTTGGGCTTCGCCTGAGCTCGCGACTAAGCCCCGAAGAAATCTCTGCCAGTGACCATTTCTGTTTAACACTTTTCTGCTTGTTCAACGGCAACCTGGTTTTCCTCCTCTTGGTTGTCCTGTTTCGGCCTGTAGGCTAGCTTCCGTGTCTCTACTTTGCAGGGCCAATAGCTCGAGTGCAGTGCTATGATGGCAAAGCCCACTCCCAGGGCAATGCTGCAGCTGATGATGATGATAATGATGATGCAGACAGTGGGGTTGAAGTCTTCAGCGAGTCCTGCCCAAGCACAGAAGACAGGGAGATGGGAAAGCCCGAGAGCAAGAGAATCATCCCGCTCCAACTCCCCAGGCCCCTAGCACAGTCCCCTCCTCCCCAGTCCACTAAACCCCGCCCCCCCTCTGTTTTCAGAACTCCATCAATCACCCCCACGCCTACCCAGGACTGACGAGAAGGCGTCTGCATCACCTTGAAGGACAACAACAGCTATGTCTTTGCTGGCAGAGCCCAGCTGGTTGGTGGCCTTGCAGCAGTAGGTCCCAGCATGGTTCTGCATTGCCTTCTGCGGGAAATCAAGGTCGAAGATCATCCCATTCCAGGTACACACCAAACGTGGAGTTGGGTTTCCCTTTGGGACACAGGCAATCATCTGCTCTGTCCCTTCCACCCACGTCTGATTGCCAGGACAGCCGGATTCCTCAAACCGTGGTTCATCTGCAAGACAGAGCCGCCCCAGGAGCCCAGCTGGGTGATCACATTCCCTTCTTCTTCCCTCCTGCTCGCCTTCCCTCCCACAGCTTTCTTTCCTAGGGGAGGCCTGGGTGTTCCCCGCAGTGAGCCATGCTCCTCGACTTCGTTTCCCAAGTCTGCGAGGCCTTTTTCATGGGCTAGCACTAGGTGACAACACCACGCTGTCAGTGGTGGCAGGCCTTGCTACCTCTCCCTCTGCTAGTCAGGAAGCGGCAGAAGAGAACCTAGAGGGGACACTTTTCCTAGTTCTCAAAATGGAATTTTGCATGAGCTCCGGGTATCGCTTGTTAGAGTTCAGCCATCGATAAGCCTGCACAGCAACTCCCTGCTGCTTTTCTTTCTGACCCACTTCCTCCTCAACTTTCTCGCGACTCTCGTCGCTAGATCTTCCGTGTGTTCTGGGTAAGGAAAACATGGCAACTCTAATAAGGAAGCCATCGGCCAAGAGGGTCCCTGGAAATGGGAAATTAACAGTGTCTTGTCTTGATACGAAGTCTCAAGTCTCTACTCACAGAAGACATGGAGCTGGGTGTCAGCGGTCTTGATCAACCGATAATCCTGCACCACCACGGAGGCCTCGCAGGAGAAATTCCGGCCGTCGTCTTCCTCCCTGGCAGTAAGTGAAATCCAGGCAGGCTCCCCAGGGGCAGGGAGGTATGGGGCTCCCTGAAGTCTCAGAGTAGGGCTGGGCGATGTTAACACATGCCCTGAACATGTCACCTTAACTCCCGTCCCCACCAGGGGGTAGGATTCGTTGATCTCCAGGATTGGTGGAGGGAAGCCTGCAGGAAAGGAGAGAGAACAACATGGCTCCGGCTGCCTCTCCGGTCTTCTCGCTGCTAATG